TGCACTGTGACAGTATTAGTCCTAGAGTCTAGCATATTTGTTTCTTCCTGTTTATGTCTTTGCTTTTACATTTTTAGTTTAATAATCTTTTTGGGCTGGGCATGGTGGCTCACACCTGTAATCTCAGCACTTTGGGAGTCGGACTTGGGAAGATTGCTTGAAGCCAGGAGTTGGAGACCAGCCTGGGCAACAAAGCGAGACCTCGCCTCTCCAAAAACAAAGAAAAGAAAAAAAGCTGGGTGTGAGGGTGCATGCCTGTAGTCTCAGCTATTCTGGAGGCTGAGGTGGGAGGATCGCTTGAGCTAAGGAGCTTGAGGCTGCAGTGAGCTATGATGGGACCACTGCACTCTAGCCTGGGGTTAAAAAAAACTTTTTGTATGTATGCCTTTTTGGAAAATAAAAGGGGCACAAATATAGAAACAACTCACACTTTAGATGTGAACACACATGTAAGACTCCTGTATCCTCTCCAGGGTCACCTCTTGGTGCAAACCCACATCTTCTTTGCTCTGGACATCCTGAACGACTTGTGTTCCTCATGTTGCTATATGAGTGCCAAAGTGCTTCTATTCTGGGTAGAATCACCCTCCCACCCCTTCATCATCTGGCTAATCCCTGCTCATCCTTCAGGACTCAGCTGAGACAGCTTCTCCTAATGACCTCAACACCTTCCTCTGTGCTCCAAAGCACTCTACTGATCACTGCTCTCTGCCTCCCTCATTAGGCTGTGAGCTACTTAAGATCAGGCAGTATTTAGCACTGAGCTCCCAGAATATAACTTTGGCTGACCAGAAGAGGTCTCAGGAAATGCTTGTTGAAAGAAAATGGATACATTTAGCACACTGCTGTGGACATGCTTAGGAAATGCATCTGAAATGGGCCTCACGCATCACAATTTCCACGAAATGTGAGGTGTGCATCTCCCTAATCCCCACCTATCATTTTCATCATCCTATTATTTCAAGTCTATCATTTCTATTATTTTTTCTAATCTTTCTAATTTTATCAGATCCTCTCCACTCCTTCTCCTGACCTTTCCCTGGTCTAATAATAATAATAATAATAATAATCCTAAATCCATTTAGATTTGACTTAGATTTGTTTTCAAATTGAAAGCCCATTGTCCTAAACTACAATTTATTAAATGGATCCTATCCTTCCTTATTCATTTTATGTATATTCTATTTTAGGTATAATCCCTTATAAATAATATGATTTGTTTTGGAAACTTTCTCTTCTATTCCATTGGCCTATTATCACACTGGTTTAGTTACTATCATTTTATTATCTTACCCAGCTATTTGTTTTTAATATAATTTTTTCCTATTAAAAACTATAGAGGAATATTTTAAATATACAAATAAGCAAAGAAAAAACCTGAAATTACTCATAGTCCCACAAAACAGAGATAACCATAATTATCATTTTAAAAATGTAAATAGATGGCTTTCATAGCTGGCTTTCACTTAACCATTTTGCCAGATAAACTGATCTTTTCCAAGCTTCTGTAGAATGTACTGGCTGATGACTACTGTATGCGGAATGTTCCTGGAGAGGGGCTTCCACTCAGAGGCCTGTGTTCTGTGTTCTCATTCTCAGCATCAGGAGGTTGTGCTAACAAGGGTCAGGTGTGTATATTTCAACATGTTATGCCAGGTGTGGTGGTTTCACTACTGCCAGGATTATTTAAATATTATGTATATTGATAAAAACAATGAATATGCAAGAGTAGTTTCTATAAAAACCCTTTGAAAGCTTGAATACCTTGCAAAGACATAATAAAGGTAAATGCAAAAACTACTACTCTCAAGTTATGTGTAGGTGCAAGGAAACTACTCTCAAGTTATGTGTAGGTGCAAGGAAACATTGCAAGGAAATTATAAAAATTATTAAAACCCAGGAACCTACACTCAGTGGGCTTCGTAGACATCTCTAAATTTTTATCCATTTTAATAAATCAATATTTCATATTATTGCACTTTCGGGAGGTTACATTATTGGTGTTTTTAATGCCAAAGACAGTAGACAACTTCGGAAGAGTCAGGAGTCAGAAAGAATATACCTATGTCAACAATTGGCCAATAAACATTTACATGTTGTAGTTTAAAACAATTTTCTTTTTCTTCTTCTTTTTTTTTTGAGACGGTGTCTCCCTCTGTCGCCAGGCTGGAGTACAGTGGCGCAATCTCATCTGACTGCAACCTCCACCTCCTTGGTTCAAGCGATTCTCCTGCCTCAGCCTCCCGAGTAGCTGGGACTACAGGCGTGCGCCACCACACTCAGCTAATTTTTGTATTTTTAGTAGAGACGGGTTTTCACCGTGTTGGCCAGGATGGTCTCGATCTCTTGACCTCGTGATCCACCCGCCTCAGCCTCCCAAAGTGCTGGGATTACAGGCGTGAGCCACGGTGCCCGGCAAACAATTTTCATTTTTAATGATTCTCCTCCTTAACCCAATTTTTCAATTAACCAGTTAACTACCAGTGCCTACAGGACTGAGAGAGCATCTACTATACCTTTAAGATGTGTAAGAATATTTATTTCATATAAATGAGATCATGCATTGCTTGAGCCCCTGCTTTCTTCGCTAACTATATTATAAACATTAATCCAATGTATTAAATATTATTTACATCATTGTGAATGCCTACCCAGTCCTTCCTGTTGAACTTCTATTTACGCTTTTTAAAACTTAACATTAAACATGTACCTTTCTTGATTTTCTCTTTCACAGGACTGACAGGAAGCTTGGAATTTAGTCATATGCCTAGCCTGGGATTCTTACATAGCTAATCTCCTTTTCTCCATTTTTTCAATTTGCTTATTACACAACTTGTGTGTGCATGTGTGTTAAAATTGTTTTATTTTGTTGTAAGCTGTGAGAATCCCTTCTGGAAGATGGAGTGAGTAGACCAACCTTAAATACCTAATATCCTGTCTCCCAGTGTGAGGTTACAAGATGTAACCCGAGACTGACTGAAGGCCACTTTGTTTTGCCTTGAAGGCAGTTCCTTACTGTTGCCTCTCTAGTCTGACAGTCCTGGCCAGGGAGCTTGTAAGTACCGAGAGGGCTTTAAGATTTCTATTGAAATTGTTGATAAGACCATGAAATGGTCTAATAGCTTAGCTTTACTTTTTCTGGAATCCTTAATTTAACCTAGGTGAATCTGCTAAAATTATTTTTATTGGAATTGGGACAGTAAATGACATGAGGCATATTATCAAATTAAAGGCATAAAGCATTTCTTATTTTCACTACTATTTGCCACAAGTGAAAAAAACAACGTGTAGAGCAAGCTTGTCCAGCCCACGGCCCGCGAGACGCATGCCGCCCAGGATGGCTTTGAATACAGCTTGACACAAATTCGTAAACTTTCTTAAAAGATTTTGTGTGTGTGTGATTTTTTTTTTTTCTTGGCTCATCAGCTATGGTTAGTGTTAGCGTATTTTATGTGTGGCCCAAGACAATTCTTCCTCTTCCAGTGTGGCCCAGGAAAGCCAAAAGATTGGACACCCCTAGTAGAGGCACAAACTCAGTAGGTTAGTTCCACAGCATCTGATCAAAGATATGAGGCCCAAGAGCCTCTGGAGGTACCAGCTTCTTTCTGAACCCTTCAACATCTGTAAGAGCTTTGAGCTGTACAGCTATTTAAAGCAGCTAAAATTTTAATCACTACTTACATATTAAGATAGGGTGCGTAAGTTTTGTGCCTCCTGAAAGAATCCTCTAGATTTTTATTTCCTTCGATTTGAGGTTAAGTACAGAGTACACTTTCCATAGCCAAACAGAAAGAAAAGACTTTCAGGTTACCTTTCAGACGTGCGGCTTTTCACAGGCTCTTTAATCATTAGGTAGTCTATATAACAGAATTACGTCAATCTGCATCAGAACCACTCAAAAAAAGAAAGAACAGTCCAGATTGGTTAATATTCTTCAGGATCTCAAATCCCTCCAGTGTTTAAGCCTCCTCACAATTATCCTGTAACAACTCTTTTTGGCAGGATGGTATAAACAGCCAGGACTATCGTCAGCTCACATTTGTTAATAAAAGGCAGTTTACAGTGCAGCCTCTCACAAAAAATCCAAAATAACAAAACAAATTAGGAGAGGTGTATGGTATTGCAAAAGGTCTTCCACTTAAGAACATCCCTTCCTTAGTCCCTAATATTACCTAAAATTATTGGTTTTTAAAAAGATTGATTTTTCTAAACTTTCAATGGGGCACAGCTACTGCCTAAATGATGGCACCACACAGTTTCACAAATGCACTAAACTCAGTACAGATCCAGGCTTCAATTCACGTGCAGACCACTGTACCAGGCACAGTGAATGCTTTCCACGATGGACGCTGTCCAGTGGAGGCTTTTCTTCTTCTTTTTTTTTTTTTTTTTTTTTTTTTTGAGAGTGAGTCTCGCTCTGTCGCCCAGGCTGGAGTGCAGTGAGGCGATCTTGGCTCACTGCAAGCTCCGCCTCCTGGGTTCAGGCCATTCTCCTGCCTCAGCCTCCCGAGTAGCTGGGACTACAAGCGCCGCCACCTCGCCTGGCTAATTTTTTGGTATTTTTTTAGTAGAGACGGGGTTTCACTGTGTTAGCCAGGATGGTCTCCATCTCCTGATCTCGTGATCCACCCGCCTCGGCCTCCCAAAGTGCTGGGATGACAGGCATGAGCCACTGTGCCCAGGCCAGTGGAGGCTTATCTACTCTGCCTGATGATTGAGTTCAGTTGCAATCTTAGCATTCACATGGCAACTCAGACTCCAGCTATGAAGCCTGGCCGGGCAGTGGATGAACTTTGTACTTCAGAAATTGGTTTTAGTACATTTATATTTGTTATTCCGAAGCCCCCAGCACATGCTGTGAGAGACAGAAAGGAATAGATGGGAAATTCTGGGGCACCCTTGTGGCATACTGACCTAATTTGAAATGAAGATGTTGCCCATGATTTTATCAGTCACCACGCTGGGCATGGGGAAGTGTTACAACACAGTAGACAATAACATTCTTTCCTATAAAATTTTATTTATTACATAAAAAATTCTATACATTTGTTAGACTAAAATACAGTTTTCATTATAATTCTGGCAACTGAGTCAGTACACAGAGAAAACTTAGCATTAGATCAGCACTTTTCTTTCTAGTTTATATTTCTGCACAAGAAAAACATTTCAAAGCTCCATTTCATATAGGCTCATTGTTCTCTGAAGCCAGATGGAATTCCATCCAATTCAGAGCTCTTGGAAGTTAATTTCCCAGCAAGATTTGATAACTCCAACTCCAGAAAGTTAATTGCTTAATATACATATTTTTAAAGTCCTCTGAGAGCATAATGCTCCATCTGTAAAGTCTGCACTGTGTCAACAACGACAGTCACAAATACTGGGGCTACAACTGTGTCTGTGGGGCATGTTCAAGCACCTACATGTTTGTTCCCCCACATGAATACAGTGTAGTGACACTGTAACAAGAAAAAAAATCCAAAATAATGGTAAGGTAAATGATCCCAAACTATGGAAGGCTTAACTGTGATCCTCCAGTTTATAATGGACAAAGACAAGACAAGATACGAAAATTCATTCTGGCACTATGAAATAGAATGCAAATGGCAAAAAAAAAAAAAAAAGACAAAAAGGCATCAGATTGAGAAATATGTGGCACCACAATATACTTCTCATGCCACATTACAGAGCCACAAGAAATCAAAACACACTGATATGTGTTTTCTGCTCATATCACCCCATATGCTGGGCTGGGCTTGACACTGGATGTGAAGACTCAGTGCCTAAGAGATCAATAACAGGTCCCTACTATATTGACTGATCTTTAAATTTGGCTGCCTTATTATTCTAGGAGCTCCATTCTAAACTCGAGGAGTTCAGAAAGGCTGTGCCAGCCAGTAAGTAAAGTTGGACCTTTGGTCTTCAGAAGATAGGGTTTTGTCTTTGGTTGTTTTTTGAAGCCCCTGTCATTTTGCTTGATGCCCTTCACACTTTTCTCCCCGCCTTTTTGTTAGTTATAAAGTTTTTTTTTCCTCCTGTAATCAAATCAGTTAACAACCACTGAACTAACTTCTTTAGGTGTAAGATCTATTAGAAGTGCATTCAGTGGTCCAGAATATTTTGAGAAAGTATAAAAACTTCTTTTCATTATGGAGCTCTTAGTACCCTCATATAGGGAAGAAATCAGAGAACTCCAACAACACAACACAATCTACTAGCATTAGGGCAACACAGCAGAAGAAAAGTTAACTGTCCCCATGTGATCATTTCAGAAAATCAAAATAGGCAAAAACAATAGGGGCCAAAAACCAAGTTCTGAGCACAGACTACTGGAACCTAGAGAATGGGGAAAATCGACTTAATAGTCCCTGTTTCAAATCACCAGCCCCCAAAGCCATCCTATTATTGTCACATTCCTGTGTGGTATCTAATACAATTTATGGAAAAAACAAAAAACAAAAAAAAGTCACGACCTGATTATCAACATGGTAAATGAAGAAGGAGCTCACATTTTCTAGTGGCAACTAGGATGATCCATGGAACCCATTCTATCTGCCCAATTATTCCCAAGTCTTTTTTTCAATGCCCACTTTTTTTTTTTACTCATATGATTTAACACATGCTCCCGAAACAGCTCAAATTATAATCCTAGCTGACAGGATGGGTGGATCAGATTCATACACGAAGGTCAGAATATTCCCTTTAAGTCCTACACTTCTGTGACAAAAAGACGTATCAAATTTAGATACTTACACTGGACTTAGGCCCTTTTCTATCCAATATGGGAATTTCCACCAGTGGTCTCTGCATTTACTACTGTGGAAGGTTCATTAAAGCTCTTCTAGGCCGGGCACGGTGGCTCACGCCTGTAAGCCCAGCACTTCGGGAGGCTGAGGCGGGTGGATCACCAGAGGTCAGGAGTTTGAGATCAGCCTGGCCAACATGGTGAAACCCCGTCTCTACTAAAAATACTATAATTAGCTGGGCATAGTGGCACATGCCTGTGGTCCCAGCTACTCAGGAGGTTGATGCAGGAGAATCACTTGAACCTGGGAGGTGGATGTTGCAATGAGCCAAGATCGCGCCAGTGCACTCTAGCCTGGTGATAGAGCGAGACTCGGTCTCAAGAAAAAGCAAAAACAAACAAAAACCCCCCAAACTTTTATAGGAGTGTGGGGCGGAGTAGGGAGCTGACTTTTCTCCTTTCTTCACCAGTCAGTTACGACATTTCCACTTTCTTCAGCCTGAAAAGACAGGCAACGGTTTGATGTCTGACTATAAATCATGAGCCACTGGGATCAAATTTCACAAGAACTTCAAACCCCTTGATGAGTGTCTGCCTGCTTTTTCAAGGGCCCAGGGAGCCTTCCATGTAGATGCAGCACCCTTACCTAATAGTACTAGGTGCAGATGTGAAGAAATTCACATATTCCTAAAGAAGATGGAGTAGGGAAGGGACTGGGGGCGGAGTTCTATTGGCAGAGCAGTCCGAAGCTGCTCTAGTGGGTAACTGGAAAACACTAAAACAGAAAACACCTCCCTGATTTATGCAGGGAGAAAAAACACCTTTTGCATTTCTACCTTTAGCATCTGCTCCTCCAACTTTCTACCAAATTTATTTTTTGCCAACTATGGACTACACGTGAGTTTGCTAATTTATCATCATCTTCATCTTCCTGGACATGTTGACAAATACATTTTAAGACAGTAGTATACTGATAACACTAAGCCACATAACGCCATAGCTGAGTTACAATAAAAAGAATCAAGTGTTTTGGTAGATGGATTAGTTACAAAGATTCCCTATTTATTTCTTCTTGGATTTTTTTTTTTTTTGGCTCATTGCAAATAATCTGCTACCTTGCCCCAAATAACCCCCAAGGACACACACACACACACACACACACACACACACACACACACCCTCACACCTCCAAAGAAAGAAAATCTTACTGTTACGAAGATTCAGTGTTGATCATCTTGTTATTCCTTCAGATTAGTGTGGTTTCTATTCCCTAACCTGCTACTAAATTACATAAAGTCTTTAAGTTATAAAAATGATTCCAGGTCAGAAGGTGGTAAGCATCATCTCAAAAGTATCTCTAGTGGAGGCCTAATCACTTCCTCATTTCAAAACACATTATCAGAACAACTTGAGAGCAGGCTTTTGACTTGGGTTCATTAAGACTCTGAGGGGGTGGAGGGGTGGCAGCTGGCAGTCTGAAGGCCCTGAGATTCTATGAGCATTTTGAGTGTTCACAGACATGCGATGTGCATTTGAGAGAAAGATAGTCCATAACTTTCTTAAGCTCAAAGAGACCCATTACCCCTTCAAAATAACTTGTTTTTGAATATCAAATATTAAATTCAGGTCTTAGCAAATAAAAGTGAAACATTTCTGAGACATCTGTAAATTACAATGTTTCCATGTTCAACTAGATCTTCACTAGACTATCAATAAAAGCTTTATTATTCTGAGCTCCGTGTCCTGGAGAAAATCATTTAAGTTGTAAAACTGAGCATCAAAACTGAATAGCCTAATAGGTCTCTAACAATTTCACATATTTTCCACAAATTGACTAATGAATTTCCTTAGAACACATTCTGTCCATATAATTTACAAAAGTGGCAATTGTTCATGCAATATTGAGAAACTGAATCATCATTTGTCTTTACACATACAAAATCAAGATGGGGAGGAAGAAAGGGCACTATAGTATTTCTATAGAAAAGAAAGGTTTTCCACAGAAATCAGTAACTTTAAAAACTGCATTGAAGTTTTCTATAAGAAAGATTTTTCAAAGATTTAAATCTTGGATTAATATTACCCTCTTAAAATTAAAATGTGGAGTATAAGAATTTGGCTCAAATGTATGAAATCTGAATGGGAAAAATGTGGTATTCTAAATTCATAAGTGTACACAACATGTGTAATTTTTGTTTTGTTTTTTAAGTTTGCTAGCTTTAGATTTTCTTTTGGCATACTCGAGGGTCTTGCTTTTTTAAAATTTGGACTATGTGCCACTAAGTTAAAAAAGGTGAGTTAATTCCAAGAAGCTACTGTGTATGAACAGTGCCTACTTTTCAAAAAGGCTAACACGCATTCTTAGTACACAAAGATACATGAATATCCATTTAAAGCAAAAGGCAGCCTATGCTGTGAATACAGAATACACAAATCTCTGCGTTACGCTTTTACTTATGAACCCACATTTTTTCGATATGTATTCACAGACCACTTCTTAACAACTCTAGGCAAGCCATGATAGTGCACTCTTACTTGTCAGATGGAATGTATGAAAAGAATACAGAAATTAACTGTGGCAGGTACATTGATAAGCCTCCAGACTCTGAGAGTTTTGTTGTTGTTGTTGTTTTTAAGTAGCAGTAGAAAAGCAGTAAAGAATTTACTTATTGAAAAGCGAAAGCTTAAAGACCTTTCTGGAGGAAACTTCTCAGAGGCCATGTTAAGGCTATTGGAAAGTCCAGTTTAAATGAAAAGGTTACTGACCAAAAATCAAATAAATATTCAAGTCAACATTACTGGCAGTTCTGGTTTTGGAACTGATCCCAGAATTCTAGCTTGCAGGCTACAAGATCTCTTGAAATGGCTGTTAGTAGCCAGTGATAGTGCATGGTGGAAATGGTTGAAGCCTCAGGGGCAGTGATGTGGCCTCACACATATGTGGTGCCTGCAGTTCCTGTAGCTGTTCTGAAGAGGGAGGGAGAGGTATTAACTCTGCTCTAAAGCAGTTTGGGTCCAGAATAAAGGGGTCAGTGCCTCATACCCCCTACTGGGGTGAAATCCTAAAACTGCCCAGGGAAGGCAAGGAAGCCCTTGGCAGATACCAAGATCAGTGGTATTGGAAATCACTTACAATCAGCAGCTTAATGCCCTTCGTAGGGGGAAAAAAAGAGAGAGAGAGAGAGCATCTCTACAAAAGAAGAACATTTCTAGCATAACTTTAAAATAAACTCAGTAAGTGCCTCCTCCTTAACCATTATGGAAAAAGTTTGGGGACCAACATACACTTAAGCTACTTAAGTTGTGGTGACTTAGGACTTAATTATCTTACAGGATAAAATAAAAACTTTAATCCTAAACATTAGCCATTGAATTAAATGGTTTAAGGGAACAACTGGCTTTGAGCTCTGCTCATCCACGCAAGGATTATACAATCTCAGTGCTCTAGCTAAATTGCTAATGTTTTATTACTACTGCACCGGTAAGCCTCTCATAGAAGATGGGTCTCTTGGATTTACAATGAAATATAACTTTTCTCTTCCGTATTATGGAAGACCTTATTCTTGAGGCAGGAGCTTAGAAAGTCTAAATTATGCACCAGAGCTTTAATTATCTGATGGCAGAAACCATGATACTCTGGTCACTACTACAATTGACAATAGAGGACCCCAACTAAAACTCTAGAAATATGAGTCCTGAATGCAGTTTTGAAGATTCACCACAGAAGAAGACAAAAACCACAACACAGAATCAATGATTTATAAAATTATTCGGGTATCCACATTTCACAGATAAATTTCTGTTCTTCATCTATTCTTCTCACTTGGGCAGAAGATGGAAGCAGTGAGTGAATAGCAATAAGGCAGCCCATAGCTAGCTGAAGAATGACTTGAAATGAATGAAAAGAGGCAGCAGGAATATCCAAACATAACCTCAACATATTTAAATATTGCTTAAAATCTTCTATGAGGCTTTATCAAATTAATCAAGGAATAAAGCTCATGAGAGAGTGATATTCCACATATTAAATATCTCTCTGTGTGTGCCTGTGTAATGTATATGCATATCTGCATATTTCTATATGGCACATGAATTTACTTAAGGAAAACAGCCTGGCAATTAATTTGCAACTCAAATGACATGGTTACACATAGATTATAATTTCTAAACACAATGTTAGTAAAACAAAATTTATTTGTAAAACAGGACCTGTTATATAAAATGGCACACAATCAAGTTATACAAAAATACAAAATTTCTTTCTGATTACAGTTCTAGTTGCAAATGATAATTAGAAAGCATTCCTGGTGGCTTCCAAATAGCTGAGATTGCGAGCATATGGAACAGGGAGCAGCAACAGTCCATGATGCAGGGATGTCCAAGTGAGTAGAACCTAATTTCCAAGTTCAGGACTTCATCAGGTCACTTTGGAGGGACACCTCTTTAAATTGCTAGCTCCTGGAATGTCTTCTGTTTGGATACCCATCTTCTAGACTTTTGCCAATTCTAAATTTAGTTCCCAATGTTTGTGAAAGTCCAAAATCTGTGTGGCTATGAAACATATGGTATTCTGAATTTTCTCACATGATTTGCTCTCTCATCTATTTGGACAATTGTTAGTTACATAATTATATTTATTCCATATCAGATGAATAAAAGAGAACAGTGATACTGTTTGGTGATACTAGATGTTAGATGTTAACTTCTGGAGAATTATTCTTTCCAAATAGCTACTCTTGCAATGTTGGTTTCCCAGATCTTGCTAAGACATGAGCTCTTAATTGTGTGTATGTGTGTGTGTTTTAAAATCCAGACTCTTATTGCAAATATTCTGAAAAATCAGAAATATTACATGAACTTTGAAAAGAAACCAAGGCATTTAGCAAATTTTAGCCTACCTAGAGTAAAGAACGCCAATACTTAAAAAAAAATACCATTTACCTTTTGCAGCAATTTAGAGGTCCAACCCTTTGAAAGGAAGCACATTAGCAAACAGCTGCTTATGAAGCCCTAGTGACATTACTTGTATGCATTTCCATAATACCGGTCTCATTCACTGTCTAGTTCTGGTAGGAGGCAATGCTTTCTTTCAAAAGATTCTCCTTCCATGGAATGATAAAATGCTGAGGCTTTTTTTGTTTTTTTGTACAGAGCCTGTATTTAGTGCAATAAGTTTAAAAAATTTGCTCTGAAATATTTACTTTACATTAACAAAAATAGCTTTTTTTAAAAAAATTGTAACAAAAAGGAGTTATCGCATAAACAGATCATGAATTATTCTTAGCAAATTACACTTTTTTTTTTCTTAAAGCATTCACCATTACAATAAGCAGAACAATGGAATATTAGCCATTCATATCTGGTAAGCTTCAGGAATAAAAAAGCAAAAAACCCCACACCCACCCCCAAACAAAAAGAACAGTCACACTGGAGGATCAACACATTAGCCAATTCTTCAGTTACACATCATAGAACTCTGGATACTCAATGAATTGCCAAGGAGAGGAGCACCTGCCAGTGTGTTTTCAGATTGTATAGCAAGCATTTGAATAAAATGGCCATTTAACCCTAAGCCACTGACGTTACTCTGAAGCAGAAGCCCAAGCACCGCAATTTTCAATGCTTTATGTTCCATGTTTCTGTCCCTTCTTTATTCCTCCCAGCATTACTTAATCTGCAAATCAATACACAGAAACTTAAAGGCTAAACTCGCTGGGTGCCCCAGCTTCCTTTCAAATCAGGCACACAAATGTGTGGAGGATGCTACTAAAGTCAAAAAGGAAAGAAAGACAAAATATAAGGAAAAAGTTTGCATACGAAAGATTATCTACCCTTTTCTTTTTTTACCTACTTTCTTTTAAAGAAGCGTTAGGGTAAACTACAAATACCTGAGGAGTTGGTTACCTTTTAATGTTAGCTGACAAATGTATGAACTATTATGAAAATTCCCATATTGGGCCCACTTGTATGTTTCTAAAAGTAAAATGACATGGCTTCTTTGATTGGGGAAAACTGATTGGAGTAATTCCTTATTTATCTGAAAGCATATGCCTAGTCTTGACTCACTAGGACTTATGCATCAGTAAAATAAGATCTTGATTTTATACACACATCAGGGAAATCACCCCTGAATAAACTTTAGACATAATTTGGTACAATAATTTTACCTATTTTTAAATAACTAAAGTTAAAATCTCCTCTAAGTTATTAAAAATGTTAATCAGATATGAATTTTAACATTTCCATTAAGACAATTACAGTTGAAAACATTAAATGACGGAAGTTGCCTTGTAAAAGCCACCCGTATGAAAGGAGTACATGTTTGACAAAAATAAGCATAAAAAAGGTATTAAATCCCTGTTCCTTTTCTCTGATTTTGGCTGATTTATGTGTGTGTGTGTATATACATATACATATATACACACATACATATACATATATACACACACCCACACACACAAATACATAGTTATGTGTATATATTGTTTTGGAATGTCAATGGGTTTCCATAACCGTCGGCTAGGTTCAAGCAGAACTTGCTCCCGAAGCCTAGAAAACAAAGTCATACAGAGTATAATCTTAGACAATTACCATTAAAAGGAGATCATGAATGATGTTACAAATATACACATGGTCACAAACAGCAAGATGGCAAAATGGACTGAGAATCCTTCTCCCCTGAATTCCTGGAGCTGAAATTCTTACGAATGTTGAAAGTCACACTTTCACCAGGATCATCTCTGAGATACACAGAGCATACTTCTCTAGCCCATGTTCCTACAGTGTCTAGGATTTTTCCTCCCTTTTCTCTTTAAGTTCTTTGCTATATGATAGCAAGCAGTCAGTCAGAAAATCTCTTTCCTAAACCTTTTTATCACTTTTGGTACATTTATCCAAAATCACTTTCAAAGAATCATAAAAAAAATTCATAAATCTTTAAAGTTTCCTTAACTAGTGAGCCTCTCTCAGGGAAAAGTTCGAGAACAAAACTGGAAGTTCTCATGTTTAGTTCAATGATCCCCTGTCAAAAGGAAAATATAAAACCTCATTTTACTGAACATTATTGTATAGGCTAAAAATGAAGTGTAAATTAAAAGATCCCATTGAGGAGGGAGGAAGATAGTGAATTCAAACAGCAGCAATGTTTCTAGAGCTACTGCAAAATAGGCATGATGCTCTTTTATAGAACTTTCGTCTACAGCAACAATATGTAAGTTATATCAAGCAAATACAAATAAGCAATCCTAAATTCTATCAATCCCCAAACTTAAGGTAGAAATTTCTCAAACAGATTTTTAGAAACACATGCAAGGGAATGGTGTTAGTAGGGGCCAACTCTAACCATGCATACTGTGGAAGAGAAATAAAGAAGGTACTGAGGTGCTGAGAAAATAAAACTACTCTGTGAGAAATATTTCACACTTGTCTTCTGGGAGCTTTTTAACCATTGAAAACATTATTCTTAGGGACCCAATGCTACAATGTCCAAAGCACCAGAACGATGCACATAGAAGATGTATTTTGGGATGCAGAAGAGGGTTTTTGCCATTAATCTGCAAGCAATGAACTGAACAACAGAAAATGAAAGTAAAAATTAAATGAAGATTTTAATGCATTGTTTGAAGTAAAGGACACTGTTTCAAAACTAAAAATACTAATAGGAAAGAACTCCTTCTAAAATATTTGGCATCTGGTAGAATGCCACATAACCTGGGCAGTTCTCCCAGGATTATTGCCTATAAATTAGGAGTTTAGGTAAGGAAAGTATACTTGCATTCTGATCTACTACAATTCATCTACCATTCATTAAATAATACTATAGAAATCTGTGCCAACTCATGGCAAGATTACCTAGTCTTCAACCTCGAAATAGTTCTCCCTTTCTTTAAACGCTTATTACTGAATGATATAATGAAAGCTTCAATCACTGGAGAGACAGAAAAGGGGGGAAAGCTTGGTTTTTATTTAAAGATTTCTTGTATCTTTTTAAGTTTTGGGCTTAGAATCGATTTGCTGAACAATTAGGACTACCAAGCAGAAGAAGAAAGGAAGCCTCCCTCCTTTCTCCATGTTGCCATAGGGTTGGCAGAATCTCCACTGCTGCCCTCCTCAGCCTTTGTGAAGTAAGAGGGATACAGAAAGGTGTGGAGGGCGGGCATGGAACCTGACTGGGAAGATTGCTGGTGAGCTGCCATCTGCCCAAGCAACCCATGTCTAGGTGATACAAACTTAAAATTCAGAGCTATGTGGGTACTAGAGTGATCTGTGCTCTGGGATCTAAACATTTAAATTTGATTTTATAATTATTCATGCTATTAAGTAAGAGTAACACCAAAATAGGCACTGGAAAGGGTTATAGAAAAAAGGGTTTATATCTAAATATTTTATTGAGGCTTTAACTTAGGTTGAATATGCAATTAGTTTGCATATACATATAGCCTCCCTGCCTCCCCCCATAAATAAGCCTATTTCCTTTACTCTTAAATGAGCTTATTTTATACCATATATACACTTTTTTTTTTTTTTTTTAAGATGGAGTCTTGCTCTGTCGCCTAGGCTGGAATGCAATGGTGCAATCTTGGCTCACTGCAACCTCCGCCTCTCAGGTTCAAGCAATTCTCCTGCCTCAGCCTCCCAAGTAACTGGGATTACAGGCACTCACTGCCATGCCCAGCTAATTTTTTTTTTTTTTTTTGTATTTTAGTATAGATGGGATTTCTTTTTGTTTTTTGTTTTTTGTATTTTAGTAGAGACGGGGATTCACCGTTTTGCCCAGGGTGGTCTCAAACTCCTGAGGTCAGGCAATCCACCTGCTTCAACCTCCCAAAGTGCTAGGATTACAGGCATGAGCCACCACACTCGGTCTACTTAAATGAACTTATTTTATACCATATATTTTAAAGTTGAAAACCTATAAATCAGCAGTATCCAATCTTTTGGCTTCCCCAGGCCACCCTGGAAGAAGAATTGTCTTGGGCTGCATATAAAATACATTAAGGATAGCTGATGGGCTTAAAAAAAAGAAATGCAAAAAAAACTCATGTTGTAATAAAGTGTATGAATTTGTGCTGAAAGCCTTCCTAAGCCATATGCGGCCCACAGGCAGCAGGTTGGACAAGTTTGCTATAAATCAAATCATTTATTAAAGTGTAAGGAAGATAGAAAGGAAAGTCCTTACCTCACACTTTTGAACATTATATGCAGCTAGAGGGCACATTGTTTAAAATTAATTATTTAAGGATGAAGACAATTACATAATATTTGAAAACAAACATGCTATTAAAAAAATACGCATTTAAATTAGGAAGTAATTAGACCAATATATGACAGAGGCATCTGTTGCTACGCTATACCCATGTGAAATATATGTGACAATACCCATGTGAAAAGCGGCTCAAGGTTCTCTTACACTCATTAAGCTGCTTTTTTCAAATAAAAGTGGAGTACAGAGATATATTTGTGTATATATACATATATATAATATCAATGACTAGAAATAATTTATCCATCTCACAATTAAACTGGGAGAAGACTAGATTGTCTTACTGAGTGGGAATGTGGGTATTGATGAAAACAGCCTTGTTGCTACTGAAAAATAAAGCTTAAGAAACAAAGAAAGTACAACTAGGCAACAGAAGAAAATGTCAGCCAAGGGAAAAGGACAGCGATGTAAACAGAACAATATTTTAAAATGGGGGAGTATGAATTTTAGCAAGTTGAAAGGAATTGCTATGATCACCTTCCAAAATGATAAAAGTCAAACCGTCAGTTCAAGTGTACACCAAAATGTTCAGTCTGATGAAAGCCAAACACTGACAGTTGAAACGGAAAGAGCAATAGCAGTTTTACCTTAGGGACAAAACTATCATCCCCTACCCCCCACCGAGCACTGATGAGGATGTTGTTCCTTTCAGCTTACTTTTACAGAAGGTGGTCTCAGTTGTGACAAGAATTCTGCCATCCAAGTGATGGGTAAGCACACAAACAGAAAGAGCAGCACGTCCTGCGTGATACAGATAACAAAAGCTTCTCCTGAAGAAGTGCAGTCAGTGAAGACAGAGAGAGAGAGGAAGTGAAAGTGAAATTCTTGGAGGGCGGCCACCTCCTCATCTCCACCTACCATCGGCTTTAGCTCTCTGGCATCAGCGACGCCTCCCTTACCAGCTTCTTTCATTGCTTTCCTACTGTTTTCCACAAACTCCTGCAAAATATGGATCACAATGCGTAAATTCTTGGTTCCTTTCAGATTTGTTAGTAGATGAATTCTAAAGAACATTTACATTTTTGACTCAATCTTGGTAAATGGATGGCCTAAAAACATAGCAATAAAGAATGTTTAGTATCACACACGAGGGCTGCTAAATTTGCAGGAATGGACCCTGCAATCCGCTGATTTAAAACATCTTTCCATCCATTCACTGTGACAATCTTACTAAGGCTCCAAGAGATAATGTTAGTTCTATGTGGAAGAGAAAACACCTAACATTTTTAAGAGGCTATTTTCTCATACTCAGAATACCATTTTATTTGTTATTGTTGTTTTTTTCTATATCAAGGTTAAATGAAACAAGAAGAACATGTTACTCCATAAGCCTCCACTTTTAAATAACCACAGAAGGTAAAAGAACACACTGATATTGCTAAGCACATAATGCTTTTTTTCTTAACCAAACCACAAACAAACTATCTTTTAAAAAAGTGTCAATCTGACCATGACATTACTTCATAAAGTAGGAAGACAGGGTGTATCAACCAGAACCTATGGTTAGTAGTAGTTGAAATGGGAATGTGCCCCAAAGGGAACATTTCCATTCTGTCAACATTTACGGGGAACTTCTTCATTAAATATCCTCACCATTCCTACAGAGAAAACTGAAGGGTGGAAAATAGTATTTTTTACTCTGCTTTTGATCAGTGACTTAAAAAACAATAACACTCTTCTAAATGCTTTAATCACAAAAGAGATGCAATAATCATGATCAAATTCCATTCAGAAAATAACCAGTTAGAATTAGTTTAGACATTAAGAAAATGTCCACAATTTAGCTGATGTTGTCAGAAAAAGAGAAAATCAATGCCAAATAGGTCAGCTAAATCATTTGGCATTCTTGCTATTGGAAAAAAAAAAAAAAATCTAGGCTGGGTGTGGTGGCTCACACCTGTAATCCCAGCATTTTGGAAGGCCAAGGCAGGCAGATCACCTGAGGACAGGAGTTCAAGACCAGCCTGGCCAACATGGTAAAACCCTATCTCTACTAAAAATGCAAAAATTAGCCAGGAGTGGTGGCACACGCATGTAATCCCAGCTACTTGGGAGGCTGAGGCAGAACTGCTTGAACCTGGGAGGTAGAGGATGCAGAGCCAAGACCATGCCACCATACTCCAGTCTGGTTGACAAAGCAAGACTCTGTCTCAAAAAAATAAAATAAATAAAATAAATAAAAAATCTAGCCTATTTATTAATACACTTATTTCAGATTTAACTGGATAAAACATGCTCCTGGAAAATGACTTGTTATTTCAATGTATAATGCTTAGTATTCAATATTACCCATTTTCAGATAAAAATATTTCATAGCTTAATAGCAAACTACTATTATTTAGAAAGCATCTTTACTTGGTAACATTTAACACTGATTATAATGGTACTTAAGCCATTTAATAAGGTTTTCAAATTTTTAAAGAAATTTAATTGAGGTTCTAATATGAAAAATCTGCATATAATATCTGTGTAAAGGTTCAGATCTTGACTAATAAATAACTATACACTCTATCAGTCATGGGTCTGTTATCCGTATTCATCACAAAATGCTTTCAATTTGGCCTACCATATTTAAGATGATGAGTTTTAATCAGGGTTGACAGCAGTAATGTTTGGGGCAATGGTGGACAGAGAAAGACAGGTAGGCACTAGGACCTGGGAAACAGGATATTTTGTCTTTGAGCCCCATTTCAGGAAAAGGCTAGAAGCTGGTTTAAAAAGTCAATTCAAATCTATCTAACTACAGAGAGAGGGGCAGCAGGAATAGGGTGAACTTAGGACTATTAACGAGTACAACTCTAGCTAGGTGGATCTGAAGTGATCTTGTCCATGCCAAGAAGCCTTCCTCCCTGACTTACCCAAGATTAACCTCATTCATGAGTCAGTGCTACGGGGTTAATTCTAAATTACTCAATTGCATATAGTGTGAATTAAACATAGATAATGTTTTACAAAATATTTTTATTGGTATTTTTATCCCTAAATTGGAAAGGGCATTTGAAGTACTTACCATCAGCACTTTATCCATATAGAATTCTCTGCCAGGGCTCCCATCATTGTATTTTGTATCAATGGCAAAACACAAGAATAATACATCCACTACCATTTCGTAAATAGACAGGAAGCAATGAGCGACTAGGAAAGCAAAGAGGCAGACGATGATCAGAGGCAGCACCCATACTGTGTAGTCCTGCTGGTAGTTGAGCAGCATAATCCCAGCTAAACCTGTGCTGCAGACTATCAGCACCTGAAGCAGAGAGAACAAAGATCACATTTAATATCCTACTGAAGAAAGCCACTCTTTTCTCATCATTTGCAGACTTCAAATTCTCTTTACTATTTATAAGTGATGGTTGCATGAGGCCATTCCATCTCAAATGAGGAAATATAATCCATATATTCCCATATACACACAGAGTCATGCATGCTTATCACATAATATACATTTTAAAATCATACATTAAATGATTCTGGTTTAAAGATAATTAAGTTTTCCAAATGCTATGCTGCACCCTAAAACTTAACCTATTTAGAATCTGTGGCAATTTTTAAAATAAATGTACACATATTTTAGAAAAAATTTACACACTCTTAGCACTCAGAAAAAAGTGATATTTCAGTGTAATGGTATGTATTTTTTTCTAAGCATTTTCACATATATGAAATAGTATTATATAAACAAATCACTATAAGCTTTTCATTAATATTTATAGAAGTATCATTATAAATACTTCATAAATATTTACTCAGCTACATAATTTCATTTTATGAGAGATTTAAAATACATTTAACCACTCTCTTACTGTGGAGATTTACATTGTTTTCAGATATAAATAATGCTGCAACAAACATCTATAGTCTTAGAACTTTTTCTGTGTTTCATATTTTATTTCACATAGAATATGTGGTAAATTTAATATAATTTGCCATGAAGTTTATATTTGGAGTCTCTGTGAAGAAAGAGGTTGCCAAAAACATCCATGCTAAAAGAATAAAAGAAATAGCCAATTTAGTTATTGTCAAGAACCACCCACTCTGATGCTTCACCATTTCACATGCAGCATTTTAAATTTTTTGTGGTGTTTAAAATACATTTTATTACAGCTTTTCAATAACCCTATAAATGGTTTATGGCAAATATTATCATCCCATTTTATAGACTGGGAAACATACTTAGAGATGCTAGCCAACCTGAGTAGAAAAAAAGAGTAGACCCAAGGTCAAGGTCATAAGAGTAGAAAAAAGAATAGATCCTACTCAAATAATGGTCTCATGATGTCAACTCCAGTGCTCTTTACAGATAAAAACTCAGAAATATTTGGATATTGGTACACAGCAGTAATGGATTCTACTGAATTCTAGACACACTCTTTCCCAGTCCATTATTTTGTCTTGTATAAGGCTTTAAGTAAAGGGAAAAAAGAGACCTCTAGAATCATGGCAGCCTGTTCCTGCCTAGCATTAAGCAGAGGCAGAGTGAGAATTCTTCTTTGGCATTTTCTCCAGTATTTATCAACATCAAGGCATTTCTCATTCACCATTATCTTAACTTGGAGTTAAAATGCATTAGATGATACATTGGTTAAGCTATAAACTGATCCCTCTCTCAGATGCTTTTAGTGAGCAAATCTGGGTCTGCCCACGCTTTGAAAGACTCCCCCACCATTTTTGTAGCAACTCACTTATGAATCTTCTCTTATAGTGACTTATTTTCTGGGGTTATTTCCATAGATGGTTAATTACTTCCATTTTATTTTCTTCTTTTTGAGACAGAGTCTTGCTCTGTCACCTAGGCTAGAGAGCAGTGGCATGATCTTGGCTCACTGCAACCTCCACCTCCTGGGTTCAAGCAATTCTTCGCCTCAGCCTCCCAAGTAGCTGGAACTACAGGTGCTTGCCACCACGCCTGGCCAATTTATTTTTGTATTTTTTAGTAGAGACAGGGTTTCACCATGTTGGCCAGGCTGGTCTCTATCTCCTGACCTCAGGTGATCCGCCCGCCTCGGCCTCCCAAACTGCTGGGATTACAGGTGTGAGCCACCGCGCCCGGTCATTACTTCCATTTTCTTCCACTCTCCTGGTTTCAATTTTAGAGTGAGTTATTTCCTATACTCTCCAAATCTTGCACATTCACCCTACTGGAGGGCTGAGGTTCTTCATGTTCTCAACATGCCATTAAAAGTTAAACCCCATTGAAATGGTAAAGTTAGTTATAGAAAGAAGGTGTGGCTCAAACAAACTAGATGTTGAGACAAAAAGTTGGTAAGATGGAAGGTTAGATATTCTCATACAAGAGATAACTTCAACAATTAGTGATGTTTAGCCAAAAAAAGTAGTAGTTATTCCCAAATATAATGAAAGAGTGTTATGCACTTATTCAAGCAGATACAGTAATGGTTCTCAAACTGTAGAAAGGCTAAGAATGCAGATTCCTGGGCCCTACTCCCAGAGTCTGGTTGGTTGGATCCACAATAAAGCCCAGTAGTTTGCATTTAAAAGGTATCCCAGGTGCTGATAAAACCTATGTCTCAAGAAGTACTGTACTATATCAGTGATCTCCATGGTGGAGTACCCACATCCTAGGGAGTATTTAACAGGATCACTTGGGACTTCCATTATATTTCTCATACATTTAGAATGTCTTCTTTAGTATGCTTTATAAGGCATATATTAGTAACAGCTATATATATATACACACACACACAATTGATAAATAAATGTAAATATATTAAACAACTGTGATCAAACTTTTTTCTTAATAGGGCGCATGACTTTAGAAGTTAAGAAATCCTAGCTGGGCATGATGGCTTACACCTACCGTCCCAGCTACCCGGGAGGCTGAGGCAGGAGGACTGCTCGAGCCCAGAACTTCAAGACCAGCCTGGGCACACAACAAGATTCCATCTCAAAAAGAGAAAAAAAAAAACAGACATTCCTGTTCTAGAGGATAAATTATTGGAATACAGTAGACGAGATTCATGCTTTGGGTAGGATGTGGGAAGCAGGAAGGAAATGATACTAGTTTTGGAGTCAGAAAGATGTAGATTTGAATCACAGAATTAGTACTTAGTTTTGTAACTCTCAGCAAGCTCATTTAACCATTCTGAGCCTGTTTTTCCATCTTTAAAAGAGACATAATAATACATACATCCCACGATTGTTAAAATAAACATTCTAAAAGTATTTAATGCAATGCCTGGCAATGTTTCTCCCTCCCTCCCTTCCTTTCTTTTTTTGCCATTCTAAGTGCAACATTTATGATGCTCTTTCTCTAGAGAACCTACATTTTGAAAGATATTGTTTACCAATAAAATAGCATTTATAAGTAATAATTCATATTCTCAATTTTTATTAACCCAAGTCAAATAAATTGTCAACTAGAAGATATAATTAGTGTGAGAAAAGACATTATCAAATGGAGGTAAAATAATTTCACACAGAAGCAAATAAATTTGAGATTGAAGGGTTTCGGGATAGCTTTATTAGGACAAATACCAATACTTAAAAAATTTAAATTGGATTATAAATCTCTATTCTTACCTTTAGGACCCTATTGGCCAGTGACCATATGTTACAAGTCACTAAACTAGAAGAGCTAAGGTCCCTTACAAATCTAATTCATATTCCATAAAAACTATCAGGGTACCATAGAAATGGAACCCATAATGATGTCTTTTTTAATTCAGAGTTTTAAAATTGAATTTAAAATTTCGAGGTAATTGTGAATTCACATGCAGTTGTAAGAAATAGTAGAATGGTTCCATGTACCCTTTACCCAGTTCCCTTCAATGATAACATCTTGTAAAACTATAGCATGATATCGATGTCACAACCATGTTATTGACATTGATACTGTGAAGATGCAGAATATATCCATCATTACTGAAACCCTGCACTTTGCTATTTTATGGGTATTTCCCCTCCTCCTCAACCCGATCTCTAACCACAAATCCATTCTCCATTTCCACACTGCTGTCATTTCACTTTTTTTCTTTTTAAGAAAGAGTCTTGCTCTGTCACCCAGACTGGAATGCAGTGGTGTGATCACGGCTCAATGCAGCCTCTGCCTCCGGGCTGAAGCGATCCTCCCACCTCAGTCTCCTGAGTAGCTAGGAATACAGGTGCACCGCACCATGCCAGGAAAATTTTTGTATTTTTTTGTAGAAATGGGGTTTCGCCACATTTTTCAAGCTGGTCTTAGACTCCTGGGCTCAAGCAATCCACCCTCCTTGGCCTCCCAAAGTGCTGGGATTACAGGTGTGAGCCACAGAGCCCAGCCCTGTTGTAATTTCTATTATATAAACGGAATTAATCTTCTGGGATTAGATTTTTTCGCTCAGCATAGTTTCCTCAAGATTCAGTCAACTTGCTATGTATATAAACAATTCATTTCTGGCATCATGTTTTATAATGTTTATTATGATCTATTAGTTGAACTCCCTGATTAGAAACAAATTCTGCATGCTAGCAGCCATTTAATTGTAATGAAAAACTCTTTTCGAAAGATTTACTGTATTCTATGATCAGAACTATATTTTTAGGAAAAAAAACTAAAGAACATTTATATTAAAATGTTAGAAACCCAGAAGATTTCTCTTCCTCTTATTTTTCTCTTTCTTGAATTTCTCAATTAAAAAATGTATTTATCATCTTTTATGGTTTTTGAGGTCATTTGAAATACTATAAATATTACATTATTAAAAATATACCTTTCTGGAAAACAATTTGGCAATGCACATCAAGAATCCTAATTAATTCTAATTCTAGGATTCTGTCTTCAGGAAATAAGGATTGATGTGGGCAAGATTTATACACAAATACAAATTTTAGGTTAGTAAAAAATTGAGCACAGCTCAACTGTAAAAAACAGAAAACCTGAGGATTAAATAAATGACACAACAGTTGTATAACCAGAGTTAGAAACGTTTTAAGAAAACAAGAAATGCTCATAATGTAATACCAAGTGAAAAAAGGGATACAAAACTGCCTTTTCTACTAGGTTTCTTTTGTTTTTGTTTTTGAGACAGAGTCTCGCTTTGTCATCCAGGCTGCAGTGTAGTTGCACCATCTCAGCTCACTGTAACCTCTGCCTCTCAGATTCAACTAATTCTCATGCCTCAGCTTCTGAGTAGCTGGGATTACAGGCATGTACTACTACGCCTGGCTAATTTTTATACTTTTAGTAGAGACACGGTTTCCCCATGTTGGCCAGGTTGGTCTCGAACTCCTGACCTCAAGTGATCCACCCACCTTAGCCTCTCATAGTGTTGGGATTATAGGCGTGAGCCACCGTGCCTGGCCCTCTGATTTTAAATTCTATGTATTGATCAGTATATAACCAGGACCTATAATAGTCCTTTCCACATTACTAGTAGGCACTCTATAAAGATATGAATAAAAGGATATGATAAACAAAGAAAAAGTTTTGACAGGTAACTAGGCTGCTAAAAAAAGTCAACTTTAGAACATTGTGTTTTATCATCTTTATATTTTTTTCTCTGTTTTTTTTTAGACAGAGTCTTGCTCTATCGCCCAGGCTGGTGTGTAGTGGTGCGATCTCCGCTCACTGCAACCTCTGCCTCCTGGGTTCAAATGATTCTCCGCCTCAGCCTCCCAAGTAGCTGGGACTACGGGTGCTCGCCACCACACCCAGCTAATTTTTTTTTTCGTATTATTTTAGTAGAGATGGGGTTTCGCCACATCGTTGACCAGGCTGGTCTCGAACTCCTGACCTCAGGTGATCTGCCCACCTCAGCCTCCCAAAGCGCTGGGATTATAGGCGTGAGCCACCGCGCCCAACCCATCTTTTTATTTTTCATTAAAAAAATAATGCGCACTCAATATAGAGAATATTATCTTACTACAATAAAGTGGGGTAGGGGTTTGGAATTATCTATATTTTCAATATCCAAAAGCAATCATTGTTAACATCTTGAGATATTCATTTCCATTCTTTTTCTTATAAACATTGTTAAACACTACTAAAGCCTAGTAGTTTTACTCAGCTTTTTCATTTATTACATTATATGCATTTCTTCATATTGTAAACTCTCAATAAAAAACAGGGCTTAGTAGGTGAGCTCAGAATCACTGAGTCAAAAGGCTTTTAAAAAAAATTTTTAAAAGGCCCAAGGACAAATTTAACGTCAGCTGAGGCAATTATAGCACACAGTGATTAGTAACTTAGAAGTCAGACAGACCTGAGCTTGAATGCCACATTCTAGTTCTCTAAATCTGGCCAATTTAATTTGTTCTCTAAACTTTATTTTAGAGTAGAGGAAACCAAAGATGATACTAGTAGCTCACCTTACAGGGGAGGACCAAATGTAACACTTAACAAAAGCCCTTCACTCAGTGCCTGGTACCCAAAGTGTCTTAATCAGAGTTTACTAAAATCATCATCATTAAATATTACCACTTAGTATCTCCCTTACTACTCTAAATGGCTTCTTATTTCCCTTTGTAAAAAGCGTTGTGGGCAATGGCTCATGCCTGTAATCCCAGCACTTCGGGAGGCTGAGGTGGGCAGATCACCTGAGGTCGGGAGTTCGAGACCAGCCTGACCAACATGGAGAAACCCCGTCTCTACTAAAAATACAAAAATTAGATGGGCATGATGGGGCATGCTTGTAGTTCCAGCTACTCGGGAGGTTGAAGCAGGAGAATCACTTGAACCCAGGACGTGGAGGTTGTGGTGAGCCAAGATTGTGCCACTGCACTCCAGCCTGCACAACAAGAGTGAAACTCTGTCTGGAAAAAAAAAAACAAAAGCAGTGTGTGTAGTGTGTGTGTGTGGTATACATAGATATACTTTTATCCTAAGTTGCTTCTAATCTTTCTTAGCTGTAGGGATAAATTATAAATATGCAAACAAAAATAAAAGATGGTGAAGCCTTTCTGAATCAGCTGTAGAGAACCGACCCACTTCATCACACACAATGCTATACTTCTCCATGCCAAACACATTTTCTTTACAAAAACATTTAAAAAATACAGTTGGCTAGAGCAACCTAAGGGTTCAATAGTAAGAAAATGTTTACAAATAGTATTTGGTGGATATTTACCTGGTAATAATGAATAATTGTGAAGATTATCAAAACAAGATGGAAAATGTATATGGTGTAATGTAAAGATAAATTGGGAGGACCAACAGGTACGTATGCTATGATTTTTATACTACAGAAATACAAGCCGATGAAAAAACATGGGAAGAATTATATAGAAATGATGTTATTTAGTTATAGTGGTGGTAGTATAAGTCTTTCTCTTTCCTCAATTCAAAAATTTTCTGTATATTTTGTGGTTTAAAACTCAGATACAATGAAATCTAATTATAATGTTATTGAATATTTTGCAGTATTTTAATAGTATAGAATAACTTGCCTCTTGTTCGACATTTCTAAGGAAAGTATAAGTCTTATTCTCTAACAGCTCTATTTTAAAGGGGCTTATACATAATACTATAGTAATAATGACAACACCTAACATTCACTGAGAACTTAAAATGTGTCAAGCACTCTCCTAGATACCCTACATGTATTAACAATGCATTAACCTCATGACCCTAGGAGTTTGGCACTATTATATTCCAATTTTACAGATGAGCAAACTGAGGCACAGAGTGATTATCTAACCTGCCCAGGTCACACAACTACCAGTGATAGTGTCAGAACTGAAATCGAGGCAGTCAGGCTCCAGTTGCAGTACCACTAACCAGGAGGAAGACTTTTTCCTAATTCTTTACAGTTCAAAACACAAAAAGAGGGCTGGGTGCAGTGGCTCACGCCTGTAATCCCAGCACTTTGGGAGGCCAAGGCGGGCGGATCACCTGAGGTCAGGAGTTCAAGACCAGCCTGGCCGACATGTGGAAACCCTCTCTCTACCAATAATACAAAAATTAGCCGGGTGTGGTGGCACACGCCTGTAATCCCAGCTACTCGGGAGGCTAAAGCAGGAGAATTGCTTGAACCCAGGAGGCAGAGGTTGCAGTGAGCCAAGATAGCACCATTGTACTCCAGCCTGGGCGACAGAGTGAAACTCCGTCTCAAACAAACAAACAAACAAACAACAAAAAACAACACAGAAGGAGAAACATAGGCACATGACTTAGCCTCTCCATGCCTCAGTTTCCCTCTCTGTAAAATGAGGATAATAACAGAACTTACCTTAAAAATTTATTGTGGGGATTAAATGAACACAATATATGTCAAGTACTTATAACAATGCTGGACACATAGTAAGGGCTTCCTAAGTACTTTCTAAGTACTTACTTTTAGTTTTTTGGTGGCCTGGATATTTTTAAAATAAAAGAGCAAATATATATATGCAAAACTTTACTGTATGTTGCAGAAAAAAATACTTGGTCTTACCTTGCCTAGGAATAACATAAAATCTCCCACTGTGTTGATGGTAGCCACTCGCAAAGCATTCTCCACCAGAATGACAAAGGCATCCTTTGCTGAGGTGCAGAAGTTGGTGCTGTTGATAGCTGTGGCTGTGTATGCATTCTGGACAAAAGCAAAAACAACATTTTCATCAACAACTGAAACTTCCTTTGTTAAGATATAAACTGAGCATAGCTAAAACACAGCTTTTAAAAATATTTCAGTCAAACACATGGCACCCTTTAATGAGGTAAGATTGAGACTAAGTACAAGAAAATATAAGATTTAAAGCCTCATATGGTAAAAATAACTTTCCATTTGGCTTAGTTTTGGTCCTTTAAAAACACTGTTATTTATTAAAACATACACAAACCTTTCTAACATCCATTAACTTCTTCCTTGTCTTAGTAAATCAAACATAATTTAATCTTTCCTAGATGACTCAGGGTCGTGACTGTGAACATCAGCAGTGCACTGTAATCATTTAGGTGATGCTTTAAAAGCTGAAGAGGTAGGTGCGGGCATCAGATTGCTGTGGTGTTCTATCTGGACTATCTACTCTCTCCTCCTTGGTGGCTTTCTTCTATGCTCTCACTTCTCACAGCTCTTGTAGTACATAGCTCTTTGATGGCTGGCATTTTATACCCCTCCTCCTCCTGGGAGCAGAATCCTAAATCTTTTTTGAGAAAACAGCCTTACCCCATTCCCTGTTTCAGTCCCAGTGAGACTGTCACTACCTCAGGCTCTGGGGATGGGTCTTGACTGACATAAGCCAATTAGCATACTATACCTACTGGCCACAATGATTGGTTCAGAATTGGTAAATAAACCAATCAGAGCCAATGAAAGCAAAAGTGATGTTCCCTGAGGCTTCTAGGAAAAAGAGGCTTTCTTTCTCTTCCATAGGTTCTCTTGAAGGTGTGAGGGTATGAATGGCTATAGCTGTTTGGCTAACATAATGAGAAGAGCTGCTGAAGGTCACAGTGTAAAACTGAGGGTGAGGCCAACACCATGAAGTCAGAGCAGGGAGAACCAGGTACTTCACCTTGGTGACAATTGGGACATTGGGAACTTGCTAGATTTCTGAACTTTTCTGTTATAGAAGCTAATAAATTGCTAAGAATCCCAGCTCTTCCCTGCTCCACATTCCCCTCCCTCTCCCTTGTTCAGGTCAGATTGAGCTGAGCTTTCTGTTCCTTAAAATACTGAGTTCTAGCTGATACACTTTCATTCAATTATACCTGCTTCTGCTGCCCCATGTGCTCTTTGACCTACTAGTCACAGACTGATTTTTTTTTCCATTCTTTTTTATGTTACATTCTAGAACAGCATTGATGTTTTCTGGGAAGTGTGAAAAAGTATTATAACATCAAATATGTTTGAGTCTTAGGAAGGAAAAGTATATGAACTTTGTGACTAAAACTTTTGGTCCTGAGGAATTTTGGGTTTAGTGCTGACTTAAATTGTCACTGGGTCCCAAATGTTGGGATTGCTGGGAAACTGTGGGAGATAAAGGGCTTGCTTTATACTGTGTTGTCTATAAAGCTTTAACCACTGAGCCCAGGAGAGATGGTCTACAATTTATGAATATTCTAATTATAAGCTTGTTAATTATTAGGAGTCTGTAATGAAGATGAGGTTTGAATTATCAAAAATTTAACTTGCCATTATATGATTAAATTCATTGATTAAAAATGCAGAACATTTCAGAGCCAAAGAGAGTATTTTACTGAGCAGGTCACTACCTGTGGTTCCTAAGCTTTTTTCAGTAATGGGGCAGTAGGAAATAAATTATGGTGCTCTTTAAGAAACACATTATGAGGATGGGCATGGTGGCTCATGCTTGTAATCCCAGCATTTTGGGAGGTCGAGGCGGGTGGATTACCTGAGGTCAGGAGTTCGAGACCAGTCTAGCCAACATGGTGAAACCCCGTCTATACTAAAAATACAAAAAAGTTAGCCAGGCGTGGTGGGGTGCGCCTGTAATCCCAACTGCTTGGGAGGCTGAGGCAGGGGAATTGCTTGAACCAGGGAGGTGGAGGTTGCAGTTAGCCGAGATTGCACCACTGCACTCCAGTCTGGGCGACAGAGTAAGACTCCATCTCCAAAAAAAGAAAAACAAAACAGAAGTACAGTATGATTTTGGTATATAGAATTCCATCATACAAATTGTGGAAGTTTATTATCAGAATATATTACTATAAGTCTTTTTATCTCAAAAACTAAAATACAGAACATCTTAAAGAAATCATACTAAGTGTTCGTTAGCATCTACCTGCTTGTTGCTCCCTTATATTGCCATCTGTCAGTGATTCTTATCAGATAAAAGACAGCAGGCACCACAGAGTTAACTAACTGCAGTGGTTCACGTGTTTTTTTTCCATCTTCTACAAAAGCTTCTTTTGAAATACTCTGCCAAGTGACTCAAAGAAGTAAAAATAAACTATACTTTTGATCTTGTGTAACATTAACCTTGCTGAAAAACGATGAAGAAGAACTGCCCCAGCCAGTTCTATTCTGAAAGAACACAGATTGGTTCCCAGTTCGCACCAGTTCCCTAAGTACTCACAAAAACACCCAGTTAACAATTTATTCTATAGAAGAGGTAGTGAACCTATCACCTGTAGGCCATATCTGGCCTGCCAATTACTTTTGTAAATAAAGTTTTTTACTTTATTTACAGCTGTGCTCATTGTTTACCTATTGTCTATGGCTGCTTTCATGCTACAGTGATGGAATTGTGCAGTCATGAAAGATCCTGTATGGCCCATAAAGCCAAAACTATTTACTCTCTGGTCCCTCACAGAGAAAGCTTGCTGACCTCCTGTTCTAGAGTACTGCCAAGGATTAATATCAATCTCATCTACTCCCTCATCTACTGTATGTGGAACCCATCCTCTTATTGGAAATACAAACCACATTTACTCATTTCAAGTTTTAGTAACTTCCTCCACAACTTTCAATCTTTCAGCATCTCTCACTGTAATTCTTCAGTTCAACAATTTAATTGACAAAGGTCTTCAGTGATCTGGAGTATGACTCCCTTGAAGAGAAATACCTTATTTCCCACATTCTAAGATATAATCAAGAGACTAATGAGCCAGTTATTCATAACAAGTTTTTAGGAGAAAATATCCTACCATATCAAATATACATATTGATTATGAGATGCATCCTGATGCTAAGTAGCTTCATAATGTCTAGAATCAAGGAAATTGGACAACCTATTTAAATCAACTAGGTACTAGCTTATGGTCACTCCCACCCTCAATGGGAACAACTCACTCTTAACTATAGTGTTCTACCCTTTCCAGTTCACCATGAATTTCTTTGAGACAGAAGCAAGAGAGGACCCACATGTCTCCAGTCTCTCTCCTCTGTTATCATCAGACCAGCTGACATGAGGAGAATGCCCAACACTTTCAAACTAAACTATAAAAACTTTTTTGTTTCCCTCATTAGTTTTTAGAAGCTTCATTTCATTTGAGAATTATTATTATTCCTCTTTTGCTTCTCTCTTATCACCCCACCCTGCGCCATTCCATCTGCTTTTAGGGCAGAAGTCTATCTGTTTGTAGATAAATAAGCGGCAATAATTTATTTTCTCCACCCCTCTGAGAAATTTCTGTGCGGGTCGAACATAGTCACAGAAATTTAGCCTTTTTGGCAATATTTCTACGGATCTATGCAATTCCCTTGTATTCAACCCAACTGAAAAAAAGTAGGTGGCTATTTTGCAAGCTCTTTCATTCCCTCCCAAGGTAGGAAGATGAACTGGATACACAAAGGTCAAGATGACTTCTTCAGGAAGAAAAATGTGCTGCAAATCATAGCAGGCCAATGAAAATTCCCTCCTTTTCTATACTTCCTAGTCTAAAAGAATTCATGCTTAAGGTTCTTAGGAATTTTGGAGTCCTTTGTGGCTTTCCCTGATAACTATTCCCTGAACTTTCTTCAGACTTCTTGGTTAAGATTTTTAGAGTCCACCCACCTTCTTCTCAGACAGCCTTCCTTATCTGGAGTTAAACTGCCCACAGACAGACATCACTGATTAACATTTAGCCCACGCTCAACATTTGCTTGGGTAGGACACAAGCTTGAGGATATTCAACCCCCAGGAGCAAGATGAAGGATGACCACCATCCGGAAATCTTTTTAAAGGATGCCTGTTAGCCCACGCAATCCCTGGTTGTACTTCTGTGTGACGGGATATAGTTAAAAAGTACTGATCATATGAAAGAAAATATGTTAGGGCAGAGGGTCACATGCATGTAACAGGCCTGTGTGGCCATCTGTCCCAGAATACAATTTCTTCATTTTCACATCTTCTTTCCTTTCTCTAGTGAAGGACCCAGAAATTCTCTTAAAGTTTAAAATATTTACATAATGACTCACTTAATAGGGGCAAGCTAGACAGCAATGCTAAGGGAATATAGGGTATGTGCAGTTCTGTGTGGATCCTTATAAATTAAATAAATGAAAGGGTAATGACAATTATTCCTTTCTTATTTAAGGCACAGGGGAGAAAGGGAATGCTATGGTCTGAATGTTTGCGTCTTCTCCAAGTTCATATGTTGAAACATAGTCAGCAAGGTAATGGTATTAGTAGGTAGGGTCTTTGGGAGGTGATTAGGTCATGAGGGGTCTACTCTCATGAATGGGATTAGTACCCTTGTTAAAAAAATTACCCCAAAGAGCTATGTTGTCTCTTCCACCATGTGAAGTCACAGTAAGAAAGCGCCATCTCTGAACCAGGAAACAGGCCCACACAAGCCACTGATTTTGCTGGTGCCTTGATCTTGGATTTCCCAGCCTCTAGAACTATGGGGATAGCTCTCATAAACTACATAACTATGAAAAATAAATTTCTGTTGTTTAGAAGCCACCTAGCATATGGTATTTTGTTATAGAAGCCTGAACAGATTAAGACAGGGCACAAAGTCAAACTCATACTGTATGCCTTATCCAATTTTGTTCTAAATTCTTAGACTTTTTCTAAGTCATAAAAATTACAAGTGTGTTGCAAATCTTAATTTCAACAGGCTTTCTTTCTTTCTTTCTCTTTTCTTGACAGAGTCACTCTGTTGCCCAGGTTGGAATGCAATGGCTCAATCTCGGCTCACTACAACCTCAGCCTCCCAGGTTCAAGCGATTCTCCTGCCTCAGCCTCCGGAGTAGCTGGGACTACAGGCATG